GTTTGCGAAGTCAACTGATCGTCGTTCTTCGACCTTCGTGGGGTGAGAGGGAAGAACGATCGATCGAGAGTACCGCCCTTGGTTTTGGTGTCTATCCGAGACCCCAAAAAATCATATTCAATTTATGCCGCGAACTTATTTTTGGCTTTCCGGGTGGGGTTGGAGGCGCGTCTAAGCCAAAAAATTATTTTGGCCTTTGGGCCTCATTCAATTGCCAATTCAATGAATTTTGTTTCTCCGTCTCTGCGCAGTTTAGTTCTCTTCGTGCTCTCTGCGATAAAGCACTAATTGATGTTAGGGTTTGCTACGTACAATCAACAACTCAAGCCGACTCCATTGATGAAATCTTTATATTCCCACATGAATGTCATAGTCATTTTTGTGAAAACCCCTAAGGTTTTGACGTTTTAGCAACCTGCGCATGATTGGTACTTAATTTTCATATTTTTATGCATCCTTCCAAGCCATAGCATGGCTTCCTTATCCCAGGCTTTGAAAATTTAACAGTCGTTCCATACGAAAAATACTACTTAGGGGCAGTGTGGCGGACCTCTGAATAATGGCTAGCACATCAAAAGCCCCTTTGTAACATTAGTCCGAAGAACCCTCGACTCGGTTAAGAGACCGAAAAACCTGCCCTAAAAGTTTTTGATGTCTCTTCCGACCTGCCTTGTAACACATATCAAAACATTGATGCGACATGAACTGAATTGGAAGTTCAGTTCATACAGTTTGTCCATGTAGAAGACTAGTTGCCGAACTGTACCACAGATGGAATGCATTTTAATACATGTAGTCGTACTGTTGCAGCAGTCCTATTTTTCAGAGCAGCGCGAATAAAACAGCTCATCTCTTACGGTTATGTTCAGGATTACTTGGATGGAAGCGGATAATTTTTACACTTCAAAGTGCTCATCATATCGCAACAAGTGTGCACCATGCAATTCAGCACGTTATGCACGTGCTGAATTACATGGCGCGCGAAATGACCACTTGATTATGAGATGTTATGTAGGCTTCAATAGGCCTCAGAGTGCTTAGAACAGAAGGACAGTCTATTTGAGTCAAGCCTCATTTAATGGTCGCAGCCATATGGTTTTGAGGGACGCATTTCTCGGCATCCGTTTACAGATATTATTACCTGGCAAATTGAACCTCCACTCGTAATCACCGTTTATTGGTCCCAAGTGCTTTTGTGCACTTCTCAAAAGAAGGCATTCCACTTCTCTTAACCAGCTATAAAGGGGCGTGACACTACATACATTTGTTTCTGAGCAAAATGGTTACGGTGGCGACCATTAAATACTTCCAAACAGAATCAGACTCAATACGTTACTGCGTCATGCGGCGCCTGATTTCAAACTGTAGTGTATCCATGTCTCAATCTTTATATTTGTAATCAGACAGAAGAAAAATGAGACACGGCATACTCAAAAGGGACAAAATAATTGTGTACAAGACTTGTGATCAAAAATGGCAATATTAAAGTAGTACTAATGTAGGTAGTAAGTATCCTTTTATCGTTAATTGCATCAAACGTTTTTACTTTACAACATACGAATGGCTAGAAGACAAGAACAGGAACGAGAGATTCAGATTCTGACACAAAAAAATATAAAAAGAGGATACGATGAGCTTGCAAGAAGGAAGGATTGGAAGAAAATGTGGAGAAGTGAAGGAAATCCGCGCAACGCCGACTGGTTTATCCATTTCGAATTCGGTAGCACTCTTGTGAAAATGGACAGAGAACGGTTTTTAGCTTTGATGGGGAAAAGCATTTGTAAATGGTTGGACGCTCTACCTAACCGAAGCCTAGATTGTGATGCGGTGCACCGTCTTTCCTTAAACAATATCAACAGGAAAACCAAAAACACCAGAGGTTGGAATGTATTATATATATTGTATGCTGGAAAATGCAAGAAAGCCTTGGTTTTACTCCGGGCAGATATTATGGGTCGAGTAAAAATCAGGGGAAAAACATAACATCCCAAGATGATGGCGAATGGCATGAGATTGACTTGTGTAGTCTCAAAATAGATCGATTTTCTGGATTACAGCGTTTATGTGATCTATCCCACATATCTCGGTACACTGAAACCGACGGCGAAGATTCCTCCCGGTTTTCGATGGTGGCCCCATCACGGATTGAGATTTTAGATGCTCTAGATGCCTATTGTTCTGAAAAGCCTGGATACATTCGACAAGTTGGCGGTCTTGGTGCTCGGGGAAGTACGATAAAAACAAAGCAATTCAGAATCGAACCGCATGTTAAAGTTTTTGTGGGGGGTAAAACAGGAAATTGCGCAGAAGATTCTTTATTCAATGCAATTTGCGAACTAAAGGGCGAATGTTTTACAGAAAAGATAATCAAGTATGCACCATTGTTTACAGGACGACAATTTCGTGACCTTAGCAAATTTTTAGAGAATGAACTGGCGGGTTTGGCTACGAGAGAAGAGCCCGGCTTTGAGCTGCGGAATTGCCAGGTTGATGGTTATTGGCAGTCTTGTTCCCCAAGCAAAGCTATCGAAAGACTGATCCATTTCAAGGATGGTATTTTTGTTGTGCACTTCATCGGCAATCGAGGGGCAGAGCATTCAGTAGTTCTAAATGCTTTTAAAAGAACTCTAATAGACAGCAACGAAGGGGTTCACATGAAGTTATGCAAAGAAAGCCTCGAGCTTTGCTGCGGACGAGAAGAAATATTGTGCATACGGGACGTTCGCCAGCTGATACAGAAGAGGATAGGGATTCGCGTCAGATCTGAAAGCAGGAGACAGAGGGCTAAACGTTCCAAGAGGCTACGGGGAAGTCATGATTCCAAAACGCACCTTGACTCAGGAGCTAGATTTGTGCCTTGTATGTAATTGGTAATGAGAAACTGAACCACAGTTGGTACATTTTCAGTAGACGTGCAACAGATTAGCTTCATAGGACAGGGAAAAGGATTCTCGATACGAAAAGTACAAGCTGTGCTGATGATCATGTAATCATTTGGACAGGAGCACAAGGAGGGATACGGTACTGGTAACGGTGCGAAACGCGATAAGAGATAAGTTTTCGGACAAGAGTTTGTACCTCTATCTTTAGCCGATGTACACAGTGCGACCTGCCAGAAAAATCTCCAATATCTGAGCCTGTCATTGGTCGGCTCCAAACATCCGGCGGACGGCGAATAGCGGATGGCGGATACCGGATACCGGACGGCGGGCGTGGACAGCGGACGGCGAACGGTTGCCCGTGGAAACACTCATCATGTGCCCTTGTTTGTTGAGTTGTTTGTTTTGTTGAGTTCTTATTTTCACTTTTCTCACGTTGTTCGTCCACATCGGCACCAAATTGACATCCCTAAGGAAGAGAGTGTACGATCTGAGAGCGAATGGTCAACTCAGTTCCGCAAGAAGGACGTGTTCATGATGTACGTAGTATTTGTTGCTTGCGAGCGAGCACGGGGGTAAACAATACAAAACGTGTGTTTGTCGCAGCCACGCGCCACCCATCCCCTTCGCCCTTCGCTGCTGGCGGCGATGGCAAGCGCCGCTACCCATGGCACAGGCGTTATGCCACGGCTTTTTTCCACACTGCACAGATGGTGTGGCTTCACTGCTCCCGCACAGACCTTTTCATGCTGTGCTTGTGAGCCTGCAGCTAATGTTTTATTCTATGCAGAGACCATCCTGGGCTTGTGCACCTCCATATTAGTGATGGCCTTCTGGTTGCAAAAAACAGAAGTGAAATCGCGGTTTTGCGTTGTCTAGAAAAAAAAACTTTTGTCCTCATATGAGGACTAAAGGTCCGATGGACACTAGAAGTCGTGGAAGCATTTGCATAATGATGAATAATACACATCGACAAGCACTGTTCAGTCAGCACTAGTGACAAACACGGAAATGTGTGTACTGAGAAACTTTCTCAAGAGATGTTGTACTAGCCGATGTGTTCATGTTGCACCAAGTCTGAACGACAATACGTGAAGAGCACTACTCCGCTGAGTGGCGTGTACGAATGAATCTCAGAAAGGGAGGTGGGCACAACGGCCGCAAATTCTAATTTCGTTTACGAGATCTCTCTGGTTCGTGCGCTGCGTAATGTCGGGTGACTAAATGCTTTTCAAAGAAACTTAAGAAAGGAAGAGAACAGCGGCAACTTCCGAGATGACGAGAGTAGACCTAAAGCGATATGCCTTGGCAGGGAGGGAAGCCCGGGGGCACGCCCCCAAAACAGCAGAATTCTAATCCCGGGGGCGCGCGATTAAAACCTAATGAAAGCAAAGAACAAGAAGTGAAACAAATTCAAGACGAGGCAACGGGCACAAAGTCGAGAGTTTCTGGTGTGAGTTGCAGATTTCCCTTGTCGCCCAAAAACATTTCCTGGATGATTGAACACTTACACTGAGGGTCAATGCGCTGGCGGATAGCCTCTCCAAGCTTGGGAAGGCGAGGCTGAGCCGGAACAGCCGCAACTACGGCCAGAAGACAGGCAAGGAGGCAGATGGCGAGAGAGAACTTCATGGTGCAGAGGGAAAGAATTTGCTGAAGTGAGAAACGGTTTGCTGTTGGAGATGATTTGCTGTTGCAGGGAAGAGGGATGGGTGGGGAGATTTTGCTTCTCTAGCGCAACGGTTTTATATGCGTTTTGGGAAGTTGCTTGGATGCAACTTCCTAAAACTGCCGTGCCTATGCTGTAGCCTACAGCATAGGCACGGCAGTACTGCACTGCTTCCATATTGCGTGATCTGCTTAGATCAATTCATCGCCTGATTTCTTCGAATAGCAAGCAGCCTTTTGTTTTTGTTACTCACACGAGCCCACAAACAATACTCACGCTGTCCTCCTGGAGTTTTACATTCTCTGGAGATGGGCACACCAGACCCGCTATGTGGTCCGGTACGCGAGAGATAATGACATTGGCACTATTCTTGGGCGCGTTCTCCCTGGTTGTAAATCTTTTTTTTTTCATACGCGATATGCACCCCATTCTTGGGGGTTTCAGCACGGGGAATGCATTACAAACACACCAGTCAAGACGCAACGCCGAATCGAAGGGAGTTTGGATGTAAGACGCAACGCCGAGTCGAAGGGAGTTGGATGCAAGACAATACCTTCATACCTGCTTCCGACTCATTGTCACGTCATGCACACAGCAAACCAGACGCAATGCCGATTCGAAGCGAGCTTGCGGTAAGACAGCTCACGTAAGACAATGCCTCGGAACTTGCTTCAACTTGGTTCACGATCAAGGCCATGCAGCAGGCTATTAAGAACGGTACCATACTGTCGTCATCAAGGGCGAACTGGCCGATTGCTGAAGTCCACACACAATAAAAAATCTGTCTCGCTGTATGCTACGCACCTAGAAAATAGCGAAGAGCTGAGATGCAGATGCAAGAGAAATAGAAACAGTACGGTATTGTACAGAACGAATATCGCCACCCCTACAAGATACGGTGTGGCACAGTGCTGTAGGGCAGGCCTGGACTCTTTGGGAGATTAATCGCAGGGATTGCTCAGCAACGGGTCAAAGGTATGCAAATTTATTCACGAGGTGGGTATGGACTGTTTTCATACATCGATCGGGTACATTACCCTTCGAAGGGTAGATGCCCTGCGTGGCCCGGCTGGCGAAAGAGAATGGCATTACCCTTGAATGGTCGACTTTATGGAGAAAGTACAGGGGCGGCCCTATGCAAGAGCATTAGGGCCAACCTAGGGTATGTAAAGCGATTGCTGTAAGCCGTATCCTACGTCTGTTAACGGATAAAGCCGTATATTGGAGGACGAGGGAAGTAAGGATGGTGCTGAGGCGCAACCGTTCTTGTAGTGGGGAGTTCCCAGTGCGAGTAGCAATGTAGTCGGCAACGATGTGTAGGCCTCGTTGCGTGCCGGGGCCTGAGGCCCCGTAGCCTTCGAAGGGTAATGTTAGCAACATCGTTGGGGACTCTGCACTTTGTCTGCATCATAAACATATCAATTAAAAACATATCAATTAAGACGCAACGCCGAGTCGAAGGGAGTTTGGATACGGAACAATGCCTTCATACCTGCTTCCGGCTCGTTGTTACATCATAAAAAATCTGTCTAACTGTATACTACGCACCTAGAAAGTGCGAAGAGCTGAGATGCAGATGCAAGAGAAATAGATACAGTACAAGGGTACTGTTACGACTGGTCCTTGATGATCTCGCCACTGGCCGGTCACTTTGCTTCCCGTGGCCTCGATGCCCTGTTTACTTCGTGCGCCGACCTCTCTCCCCTAAATACCCCGGCCATCCAGCCCCCACCCCCCCGTCCGACCTACGCTATCCCCTTCTTGTGGCCCGCCTTACATGGATGCGACCGCATTCCTTTCCCTTCGTCCTCCTTTTCCCGCTTTCGCGTCGTCTTTCTTTCATTTCGATCCGTCTCCGTACGGTACGACGTGCGGAGACAGGCCGTCACACTTACTAGTTCCGTCTCCAACTGACAGCCGTGACTGTAAGTGTCTATTCCCTAACAGTGCTGTAGAGTACAGAACGAATACTGTATCTCCATCCTACAAGATACGGAATAAAGCATATATATATATAAGATAAACGAATACCTCCATCCTACATGTAAAAGAGACGAGTAAAGCTTATGATCAACAAGATACGGTAGCATTTGCACAAATAGAAATTGAAAAAAAATGGGACAAGATACGGTGAAGCACAGTGCTGTAGGGCAGGCCTGGACGCTTTGAGAGATAAATCGCAGGGATTGCTCAGCAAGTAACTTTAGAGTAGCTCCGGCGTCAATAGCGAGAAAGAATGTATGCTAGTTTCGCTTTTATGCACAGGGGGGGGGGGGGGGGGGGGGGGGGGGGGGAAAAAAAAAAGGGCCCGGGGGGGGGGGTACGGATACAATGGCCCGGGCGATAATAATGCGTAAATCCGCCCGGGCCGTCCACGACATTAAACAGGCCCGGGCGGCTTGAATAGGCCGAGGGGCCATCGTAGGTGCAAAAACAGCCCGTGAACTCGATTTATTACGCGTTCCATGTGGCATACCTGTGTCGAGCGTGCAGCGTCGTCAATTAGTGTAGTTGCGAAAGCGAATCCTGATTTGCGAACTATCCCGGGTTCAATTCCCTCAAGCTGTAATTTAGTTTTATTTTGAGTAAGTGCTGTCATAACGATGATTTTCACTGGAGGGCCAAATTCGTGAGCGGGTCAAAGTTCGTACCATACGCCACGCAATTAGTGTTACTTCTTGACATTTATCGCGCGATATTAACTCTCATCCAATGAAATGAACGGCTCAACGCCACTTCGTACATTCAGCCATCACTGTAAATAAAACTTTTATGCTTTTTATTCAAAAATACAGATAATATTTTTTGGATGATGGTACTTTGGCAGTTGTGGCAAAATAGCGACGTGGAAGGGTTTCACTGAAATGAAGTCCATCGATGCTTCAATTTTCTTCCATCACAGGGCATACCACGATAAAACATTCGTCCATAAACGGACCTACAGAGAGAACTTGTTCTTTCGAAGCTTTTATCGCCTACTTCAATATGTACGCAGCAATTGCTCTTCTGGTAGAAACGATATCTACGTCTGTTAAACATATGTTAAGATCGTTCTGCACGCCGATAGTCTTGTTCATGGGAAATGAAACGCCTGTGACTACAAGCCATGTGTAAACGCACACAAAAACACCACAGTCGTTGCTGTTATGACGTGGTTGAATCGGAAAATGAAGATGACTTGCTAGTGTATTCGGACTGATCTTAACCCACTGCTTTTTGTTCTCGTACTTATCGTCATATGTACTTGACAACAATGAGAGCCCTCGGGTAACCGTTTGGGAAAGCTTTGCAGAAACCCTACCATGCCGAGGGTGGTAGGGGTCAATCACAATAAATTCTTTCTTGCATGGATACGCCAAGCATAAGCACCAGTGGCTAGCGTTTGCATCGTGCAGAGGCCATATTTTCTGATCGACTTCGTGAAGTTCAACACCACGCAACCACCCTTGAAGAACCTTTTGCCTACTTACATCGTCAGAACTGGCGAAAACGATTGCTTGAGAAGAAACCTAAACAAATTTTTGGTTTGTCGCATGATCAGCTTCTTGTAGCAACTTTGTTATTAATGCGTGAATAACGTCATCACTTATCCATTGATTGTCCTGCAACGTTGAAAAGTCTTGTAGTGATATTTTGATGTACTTGTTCCCCACTAAGCTCTCACTCTTAACAGTCTTCTTTCGAGATGCTTTCTTTGCTTTAAGGACTTTAAACACATCATTCCTTTTGTTCAGGTTGAAATCAATAGAAAATCTTGGAGATGGTTCTTGTTCAATTAACAATCTCCATTTGTGCTGCTCAATATCTTCTATTCTCTCTGAAATTCCGCCGTCGTACAGAACAACAATTGATATATTTGCACATAGTTCTTCTTTCTTCTGAACGGTTCCTGCATACCACCGCAGATCTTGTTTCCAAAATATGCTGATGCGACATCCGTCTTTCAGAACATTCACGTCTGAGTTTTGAAACACATTCCTAGACAAGATGCATCGTCGAGATTCATCGCATTCTACTCCAACTGGAATGCGTTCTCTTGATAAAATCACCGAAACATCTGACGGTTCCGGTGAGGGATGTGGAGACACTGTGCTTGAACCTCGAGCATCCCCAGGTGGGGCACATAGTTGCATCTTCTTATTATTTGATACACAATGGATATCTTCTGCAGATCTCTTTCGTTGTTTGACTTTAAAGTTGAGCTTCGAACCTGCCGTGATCACTTCTGCAGCTGATATCATTTCTGCAATTGTCACCTGCTGCTTTCCACTGATGGCGTGTTTTGTGTAGTAATGCTGACGAACGTTCTCAGGGTTATTTTGAATGTTAATATCTTTGCATTCCGGACGAGCAAAACCACCCTTGACTGGTTTCTTCGGCAACGATATCTGAACTCCATCCTTTCTGTTAAACGAATCTGGAACTCTTCTCGATGCGCTTTTTCTTCTCTTTCTATTCAATCTTGATTTGTGAGCTGCAGTAGTTGTTCTACTTTTATGACTGGAACGTAACGGGGGGTTGGTAACCAATTTAGAACCCGAGCTGTGCTTCACTTCCAGACTGTCCTGAGAACTGATGTTCGTTTTGTGAGAACAACTGATAGTGTCTTCTTCAATATCATCATCCTCATTAATGAAACCAGCTGACTTCAGACCTATTCCTGAAGTATTTCGTCCACTACTTTGGTTTCTAGCGATGTGGAAAGTGGTGGTATGATTGTTCAATTCAGTGCCATATCCTGCTCGATTTTCCTGTATGGGGAATCGCATATCTGCGTTTGAACTAGCGTCTCTCTTCGTTCCCAAAGTACGTTCTATAGATGTTTTCAGGATTTGTAGGAGCATTTGGGACACGTTCCCGGATTCCCCTACGATACCACTGTTACGTCTTGACACTAGAGTTTTGGACAAAGTACCTGTGAAGTTGTATAGCACTTCTGCCATGACAAGGGAGGTTTCGTCCTCAGCTAGATTCTCAGAGAGGTCTTTCATATTTCCCACTAGTTTTGCATAAGCCACTCTACGATTAAGAGGATCCAATGCCCTGGGAAAGGGCATCGGCTTGGACGGTCCGGCTTCCCTTATCGCAGCAGTGGTTCGAGTACCTATCCATTCAGTCAATTATTCATACTGGTCTTCTATTTCTGCATTGTCGACATGTTGCTGAGAATCTATGCTACTCCTCTCAACCGTAGAACTCTCTTGCCTCGATGCTCTATTGGTCCAAGCATCATGAATTGGCGAAATCCATCGACTATGTACTGCTGTTGTACAAATGAACTCGAGAGCTGTACGATGCCCCAGTTTAAATGTGTATTCCAAAACGGCCTTGTTTTCAACCTTGTCATTGTGTATGCAGATTGCAAGGGCATGGCGACAAGGTAGTAGCATTCTTTGATAGTACATACATTCACATTGAATTAAACCTTCATGAAAATGAGGCGGGTGGTCCCACAATCGAATTGTTGTGCTTGTAATAGAGAACTCTTCCGAGCAGTCAATGTATGTATACTTCAATTTGCACTGAAGCTCTAGTACACCTTCAAGTACTGAATCCTCATCATAGTTGACTTCATCATTCAACAGAATGTCACATCTCATCACAGCTAATCTTACAGCGGCTTCCATTTCCGTAACCAACTCCTCACATGCAAAACGAGAAACTCCAAGGCCTTCAATCGTCGACACCATCGTTTTCGAACCTGAGAAAATGGACGACTTAAACAACGGCGAAATTAGAAAGCGTCGATTTTTCCCTTTGTCTTCCTTCTTTGTTTGTCTTTGGAACATTTCGCCAATTGATTTAAAGAGATCTTTTGAAGTATTTGAACCTTTGAAACATTTCAGGAGGCTATTCCAGCTTTCCAATCGTGCAGTTGTGGATGTACCCAATGTAAAAGCATCGGTGAAATATGCTACAGCCCACTGTCGTCTTTTTCGCCATAT